TATCTAAGGAATGGTGGGGAATTTGAGGCAATTTCTCATGTCTGAATAGGGTGCCCAGAAAGAACAAAGAAATCACACTATTGAAGAAGAATAGGAGAAGAAGAGATTAAATCTTTCTTATCTCATGAACATGGGATTGTTTGGCAAACATGGATGTGCCAATTAACAAAAAAGTGAAAAGCAAACCAAAAATTGTTGATTGTGTCTTTCTAGTCGTTATGCTATTCACGTGGGTTATAGATTTTTTAATCATAAATTCTAAAGTGCCTGATGTGAATGTTGGTACTATTATGGAATCTAGAGATGGTACATTTTTTAGAATGAATTTGCTATGAAAATACACCTAGCACTTCTAGTCACGATTCTATAACACTTTCACAGTTGCATGAACCGATAGAACACGCGACATTGAAACCCATGTGGAAAATCATGAGGAGGATAATAATATAGTCACTCAAAAGAGTAAGAGACAAAGGACTGCAAAGTCTTTTGGTGAAGACTATATTATATACTTTATGGATGACACTCTTAAAATCATAGAAGAGGCATATTCATCTTTTGATAATTGACTTATGGAAGAAAGTTGTTCGAGTAAGATAGACTCTATTATGTCTAATGGAACTTGGAAGGTTGATAATCGCCCTTACGAGTGCAAACACTCAGATGATGTAAATGGGTGTTCAAGAAAAGATTAGGCCCCGATGGTACTTTTGAGAAGTACAAGGCTGAGGCTTGTGGCTAAGGGTTATACCCATAAAGAAGGTGAAGATTATTTTGATACTTATTCACCAGGTTGCCCGTTTGATGACTATCTGAACAGTTACTTTCCTTGCATTGTCGCCTCACATGGTCTTCTTGTTCATCGGATGGACGTTAAGACAACTTTCTTGAATGGAGAGCTTAAGAAAGAGATTTATATGGATCGACTTTTGATGGATTTGTAGCAAATGGTCAAGAGGGAAAGTGTGTAAATTATTGAAATCTTTATATGGCCTAAAGCAAGCACCTAAGCGATGTGAGAAGTTTGATGAACTTTGACATCAAGCGCTTTTCGCCATTAACGGTCGATAAGTGTGTTATTATCGGTATGGTGGGGAGATAGTGTAATCTTATGCTTATATGTGGATGATATACTAATTTTTAAAATAATATTAATGTGATTGAGGAAGTAAAAGGATTTTTTGTCAAGTAACTTTAAAATGAAAGATTTGGGAGAAGCTTGATGTTATTCTTAACATAAAGCTACTCGGAGAAAAGAAATGGTGGGGTAACTCTTGTACAATCCCACTATGTGGAAAAGGTCTTGAAATCGCTTTGGGTATAGTGATTGCACACCTATTTCAACTCCTTATGGACCCAAGTGTGCTATTAAGAAAAAAATCACAGGATAGCACGGATCAATTGAGATATTCTCAAATTTTTGGCTCAATTATGTATTTAGCTAGTGCAACGAGGTTCGATATCTCATTTGTTGTAAGCAAACTTAGCCGATTATTTCAAATCTGAGAGATAATCATTTGCGTGTTCTTGAGAGGGTATTATGCCATCTCTAAAGAGACTATAAGCTATGGCATCCACTATACTCGTGGGTATCCCGAGGGTACTAGAGGGCTATTGTGATGAAAATTGGATATTTGATGTTGATGAGATTCACGCAAGTGGATATGTGTTCTCACTTGGAGGTGGCGCTATTTCTTAGAAGTCTTGCAAGCAGCACTCCGTCTTAACGAGGTCAACAATGGAAGCAGAACTCACATCATTAGATAACTTAACCTGCTGAGGCCGAGGAGTAACCCATGTTAACTCTTTATAGATTTACTTGTGGTTGAAAAACCAATACTGGTCTATTTTCATGAACTATGATAATCGGACTGTGATAATCAAAGTGAACAGTTCTAGGGTAACACGAAGTCTACAAGTGAAAGTGCAATCAAGCCCTAATTGTGGGTTTTGGTGATAATGACCACGCAATTAGAGAACTAATGAGATTTATCGAGAGATGACAAGGAGGGAATTTATATTCGAGGATGCTACATGAAATGGAGGAGCCCCAATTACAAATGTTGATAGCTTCAAACTCAAAGGAGGTTTAAATTCTTATATTTTGAACTTGAGCATAGGAAAGACGTACTACAAAGGGGGGACACAATGCTTGCTAATATGTGCTACCAAGTGCTCAAACATACACATGCATCCTTAGATTCACAAAATGAGACAAACTAAACTTCACTCTTACCCTTGTCTTATTTGACTGGAAAAGCAAGACTTCTACGCACTTAAAAGAGAGACATCTCAAGATTTAAACCACGCAACCTTCTGCGTGACTTAAGTGACCATTAGGGCTGAGGAGTATTTATACCCATCCTCTTCCTCCCCAACAGCCATCTTCTTCCTTCTACTTATTCCAGCTCATCCAAAATAGAAAAAGGAGCCCTATCTCTCTCCCTTTATTAGTGATATTGAGCCCTCAAGCAAATCCATTGATTTTCCCATCAATCCTTGAGAGAAAAGGGTCCAAAACTTGATTAGAGAGCAGCTCCATTGATTCCTCAACTCAAAAGAGCACTTGGTTCACGTTTTGGCCGGGCGGTTGTGTTTGTTACTCTTAGAGCTTGGCTCCTAGCCGGCCATAAGCGTTGCCGTGAAGCTTGCCAACTTGTGTGGTAGTCCGGAGAGGTTTGTAACCATCTCCTCAAGCTAGTATATACTCACCCTCATCTCAAGAGTTAAGTCTCTTGACTTGAGAACGAGGAATGGTTGGAAAGCCCTAAGCCTTTGTGGCTAACCTCAACAACGTGGAGGAAGGCAAGCCTTGGTGGCGAGCCAACCATGGGATAAATCATTGTGTTATTTGTGCTTGATTTACATTACTTGCATTTTATATTGTTGGTTGAGGTGATTTCTTAGGGTTTCTAGTCGATCTACTTGTGTGTGGTGTTCCTACAACTCCTAGCTCTTGATCTGTGACTATCATACCCTGCAGATGGTTTGAAATTTCTCCGATCTATATTTCTATTCACCGATTTTGAATTGTGACTCGAAATTTTTGTAGGTACGACAGATTGCGTTGTTACGGTCCGAGTAGTCTGTAGTCCTGACAGCAGCCACCCTCCAGAGTGGTGGTGCCGTAGGGTGAAATTGATAAAAGTTTGAGTGTTTGTTTTGACATGCCTATTCACCCCCTTTAGGCCAACCAGAGATCCTACAAGTGGTATCAGGCAGGTTACCTCATATACGCTTTCACTGCATGAGATATGGAGCACGGAGGAGGAACTAGTGGTGTAAAGTTAAGGATGGATATAAACTTGACAGAGTAGCCAGTGGCGCGTCGAAACAAGCAACACCTGAGACTACTACATTTTGAGGCTACCAATGTCGTAGAGCTCTCAATGATAATGAGAGAGAAGAAAAGGAAGGAGGCAAGAAAGCTAAAATGAGAAGCAAGAGAAGGAGGAGGAGGAGGGCGGTTAAAGGAGAAGAAGCGAAGGAAAGAAGAAAGAAGGCTCAAGAGAGAAGCAAGAAGAAAAAAGAAGAGATGCTAGGAAGAAGAAGGAAGAAGAAGAGAGGCAACAAGTATATCATCAAACATATCAAGTAGTTCAAGATGGAGATGATGATGAGTCATAACAAGTGTCGAAGGGGACAAGAAGGAGAAGAAGAAGAAAAGGGCAAGGGCAAGACAACAATAAATATGTTGTCGTTATCCTTTAACTATTCTTCTATTCCTATGACTAATCATGATCGGAGGTCTTTCATCATCAGTGTCATGGGGTAAGTTACCTCATTTCAATGAGACTAACTTTGCCAAGTGGAAGCACTTGATGAGAGCCTATCTTATAGGTCTTCACCCCGCATTGGAGAGATTGTTTGCAATGGATTTGAGCCACCGGTTGATCCCAATAACCTAACACTAGAAGAGATGAGAATCATTCACCTCAATGGTCAAGCCATAAAAGTAATGTTGCTTAGTGCCTTGGATGGTGATGAGTACAATAGAGTGATTGGAGTTGATGTTGCCAAGCAAATATGTGACACTTTACACCTAGCACATGAAGGGGTTGACAAAGTGAGAAAGGCAAGAATTGACTTGTTGATGTCAAAGCTCAACCGGTTTATAATCTTGGATGGAGAGGGGCCACGGAGATGTTTGATAGGTTGATGACAATAGCGGGTAAGATTAGAGGCTATGGTTGTGATGAGCTAGATGATCACAAAGTTGTCAAGATTATGTTGGAAACTTATTCACCGGAAATAAGACCGTGTCACTCTAATTAGAGACAAGAAGAAGTTTGAGTACTTCACACCAAATGATGTAATCGGGAGGATCTTGACCTTTGACAT